TATTGCATATTCATCCCATATTACCCAAAGTCGAAAGGCCCAATAGCCCCCGACGAACACGGTGATACCAGGGATGATCCATTCCAAGACCGGTACCATCATATCCGCCATGACGATCATGTACGAGCCCATAACCAACCACGTTGCTGAGACACACAAGATCACAGAGCCAGTTGTTGGCGAAAGAATATTACTCAGCGCGATACAAGCGGAGGTCATCATTTCTGCCCATGCTCCACAGGTAGCCCTCGCGAGCGCTCCATAACTGATCGTCTCAGTGCCTGGGGAATACGATGAGCTACAGGGTGATCTGCCCGCAGACCTACGCTTAGATGCTTCTATGAGCAATTCGCCAGAGTAAGAGCTCAGCACTCCAATGCCGAGCAGAATTAAGGTTCCTGAATAAACTTGGTTGTCTGCTCATACAGCGTGTAAGTCTAAGGATGCTAAAAACTCTCTCAAAGAGACATGAGCATTTCTTTTCTTCTCGATCTCACAGTAACTCTACGTACGACCTACGATAGTAAACCAGAATCTCACCTATGATCAGACCACTCTGAGCCATGGCATAAGGTAGACTGAGAACTCCTGCGCCAATAGCCGTGCCTGAATTCAGAATTCGGAGAGCAAGTCCAGCGAGGTATTACAAACAAGAGCGTAGGTGACATCCTTGACTTCCATCCGACTCCAACTCTCTTTAGTTTTGCCTTGATCATACTCAAGTTGACGATCGAATGCTTGATCAAACTCTTCCTCAGATAGCAGACCGGCCTAAAGTGGGTAACAATTCATCACAATAACAACGTGAAACCGAGCTTGGCTTTCACCACTCACTGCAAAGATGAAAGTATAAAACGAAACTACATCACGAGCTGAAATTCTCGAGAAGTTTATTCTAATACCTGATAATCCCTAACGAGGACTCTTGTACCGGAACTTTGACCGGAGGCGACATGCAGTTGCTGCTCGTCGCGGGCGAGTAGTCTCTCGTTCAAGCCAGTTGCCTCCATAGAACCGGTCATGAAGGAGCTGTATAATCCTCAATTATTCTAAGTGAATAAACGTGTGTAATAGAGCAATTACTTTACTCTTCGGGAATACTTTCTAGTAGACACTAGCGCTCCATGATTACACACTACCGTGTGTATGGGCTGAACACGTTTGTGTGCCACGGCAGGATTGTACCAATGAACCATCCATCGTAATCGGATTAATATCGAATTGAGAACCTCTGTTCACTACAGATCTTTTCCCTAGCACTAGCACAAGATCCGCAAAAAATTCGTTGCGATGTGAAAAGTCTTACTCTCTCGCGCCATCTCGTGTTTTCTCAGTGTATCCGGGATTTTCCATTTCCGGATCAGTGAATTGAATTAACCCATTGTTGGTTGAAGGATGGATCCTTCGAACCATTGATCAGCGGATGGGACAAAGAGAGCGAGTCTACATCTTTGTTGCTATCTTGACGCGCTTACAGGGCTCTCATATACTAGGAATCGTAGTCCGTCATGCAGCCGTTTCGTTGTCACAAAGTAGTCTCGATGAAATTGTTAGGATATTCTCTCGACATGGTGCGATGAAGAGCACCCCGAGATCCTCGTTCTATCAAAATCTGATGATTCGTGGCTCGCATGCTGTTGTCGGTCTCGGAGCTTCGACTCGGATAATAGATGTTCCTTCAAGGAACTTCCTTGATCTTTCAAAATGAGATGTCAAGTATTGCATCACCCTTTACAACATTGTATTGGGCTATATCGCTGTCAGTAGCATTGAATCTGAGTATTTCAAGTCTTTTCATGTTCTCACCGAATCGCATGAATAAAGGAGTGGTTAGGGTGGTGCCCGTGATCGAGGTGAGCCCGATCAGCACGCTCGACACCAAGAGTGGCAACACAACAGGTGAGGTCCTCCCTGTCTCGTTTGACTTCGATGAGACCATTTCTTTCCGTAATCCGGACATGAATTGAATTCGATTGTTTAGGCGTGTCCGACTCGTCCTCTTCTGCCAAGAGAAGGAATGGCCGCCGATCTCGTCGGCGCAGTAAGTCTCACAAGGTATGGGCGTTGATTCTTGCCGGTGTCGATTGTTACTTCAGTCGCTCGCCGGTTCCTATACGATGTCCAACGAGAGATCACAGCATGAGTCAAGAGTTAAGCTGGTGAGACCGTATTGCCGGCATAAGGTTATTGCCCATGCGGAATTCTGGGCTAGGAACAGTTTGCACGCTTTAGATGGATGAGGACATGTGTTCGAGAATTCAAGTGATGTTCTGTGTAGAGTGTGTCGTTCTGTATTTTAGCGTGATACCAACTGGATATGAGAAAATTCAGTGGAGTCCCTGCTCAATCATCGCTTATCCGCAGAAAATGAACCCTGCTCGACTCTAGTTGATGACAGTGCTATAGGAGACAGCACAGTTATAAGTGCCTGCGCCCGACTGAATGACTTACAGAATGATATTTGGTAACTGGCTAGACTAGAAAATATGGGAACGTACTCATAAAGTTCTTGGATGCTTTTTCTGGTGAACTTCACGAAATTTAAGACTTGAGCTCTTCTGATACATGTCATCGTCGACTTGAGAGAAATGATAGTGCACTTTACTAACTACATGCGTTCCCTGTTCCACCGACGTGTCTCAGACTCCGGCTTCGGCAGTTGATGCTGCAGTAGCTCTATCGGCGTTAAGACGTCTTGTTGACCATTGCGGTTGGAATGAGAAGACGAGCAGCATCGTGGGGAAAGAGGCATGGACGCTTTTGCATACAGAGCGAAGCACTCATAAAAAACATCCCCTGAGGGTATCATAGTTCTCAGCAAGTCTCGCAGCTATCGTTACAGGCCCCGATGGTCGAGGATTATGGCGCTGAGCTCCGGAGAGAACTGCGAGATGCTGCCACCGCTGAGGAATTGACAAGGTTGATTGACAAGGCTGCGTGGGCAGGATACAAGTGAGCAGCTTGTGAATTTCCCGATAGTATTTGATTGTATGATATCGTCATTCTGCTAGAGTGCTTTCTTTTATGCAGGCACGAGGCTGAGATGGGCATGCGTAAGTTGCTGAAATTAAATTGAGCGATTTTGAGTTCATCTGTCACATGATGGTATCTGAGAGTTTCCATTATTAGAATACGAGGTGAGTTCTTGGCTATTGGGTTAATTACAGTACTTGAAACTTTCTGAATCGTTCGAAATACAACCATCATTGAGGGAGGTCATCAATCATCATTTGTGCAGTTGTTCGACATGTTCCGACGACCCCAGCAAGGAGCAAGCCATGCTCTCATGCTGCCACCTGTTGGGTATAAGTTTATACCCAAGAGTGATAAAGTCTGCGGTGCACCAGGCTGTTTTGAGTGTTACGACATCTATTGCCAACGCTGTGAAAGTAGTGCTGGGCCGATCTAGTTGAGATGTGACGGTTTCGGCCTGCGGTACATTCTCAAGTATTCTCGGTGATAACTTCGCTCACCCGTCAGCTGGTCGGGTTGGTTAATCTAAGAGACCACTATACCTGAGCTCAGTTTAACAGTTCTCATTATCCCGTCTGACGCGGCTTCGCAGCACTAGATCGGTCCGTTCGGAACGTTTCGAACTTGTCGCACTAAATTTGAAATATTTTCGGGAGCTATGTGAGATGTAACTGCTATGGTTTTAATTTCTACTATGGATATGCTCGTCGCTGGTTGAAATGATTAATCGATTCGTTGCTAGGTAAGGATCGGCGTATAATGGAGTTGGAGATGCGGAATAATGACTTGTGCAAGAATCTCACACTGCTGCAGGGACAGCTGTTCGCTAAGATTCAACAGCAACCAAGTAAGAGATTTTCCATAACTTTTCTTAATATGTCGTAATTTGCTTATTCTGTCGTTCCCCTATGGCACACATTGTGTGGTCCCAATCGACAGTACACAGTGTGACACTAGTGAGACGCTCGAACCATGTGTGCCGCTAGTGTGTTTTGCTGAGGTGCCCGAATATCGGCAAATTGTAGACGCCCAGTTTTTGTTCTCGCAGATGGTCCTGTGGAGTCCACCGTGGCGGCGGACAACACATCTTCATCGCAGCCCACATTCCGTCCCGGCGGACCACCGTCTACTAGCATGAAAGTGAGTTAGTTGCGTGGCGCGCGAAGGAGTCTCGTATTATTTCAGGATGCTTTCGCATATGTTCAGTCACCAGTTTTACATGATCCAGTGTCTAATAGAAATTATGTCGCAACGACAACATACACCTCGCCATAGTAACCATGCTCTCAAGGTAATGTGCAGTATACGCGAAGTTTTGAGTTCAGTCGTCAACTAATTTGAGGGGTTTTCAGCCATTTCGCGGGTTGTACTATGCAGTCATCATCATCGCGAGGGAAATCTCGGCAGTCGCCCGCACGTCCTACGTCATCGAGGATTGGTTCATTCTTCCGCATACTGTTTGCAGTTGTCTTAACAGCATGGTGGATATGGATAATATGTCAGCTGCTATTCTCAAGGGACGTGGTAGGAAGGGAATGGTATTTAGTGACCTCATGAAATGTCTGAGCTCAAATCGATGGCGTCACGCCGTTGGTGTAGTATGTGTGCGGCAAACTTTTGTTGTCAATATTTGTATTAATATGGGTCGTGTCTGTGTAGTACGCAGTTCTGCGGCACTGATATCGCATCTGGTTTCTGTCCTCGTTTCATCAACTCATGTTTCCTGTTCGCTTTCTCAGATCCGTCAGTTACTCGAGAGGACGTCACTCGCCGTAACTGAGAGTCGCCATTTGGCATCGGAAACGTGGCTGCTAATGAAGGAGTTTGGCAGAGTTGGGAGGTTATGGTTGTAGTAACGGGGAGCAGATTGACATTTCTCAGTGGTTGCGCTGAAAATTCTAGTCGCATGTTTTTCGCGAGTAATTTTAGATGTCAGTAACAATGGGTTGGAACCTGCAAACTACTGAAATGAAGCTGGCGGTGTATCATCATTCGAATTATATTGAAAGATGCGCCCTTTTTTGTGTGTATTTGCGGATGTGGGAAGAATAGTGTTCACTGTCGGAGGAGTGCGATTCGTTTACAGATAGTGCCCTGGATTGGCGGATTCGGAAACTTTTTATCGATCTTAGGTTGATCACGTAGATTATAATCATATTATGAATAGCCTTTATGGTGTAGTCTACTGCTTGGTATTTTTTGTTGAAGCTGGTATCATACTCTCTTCGAAGATATGCCTGCATATCTTCAGATTCGTGGTTGCCCCGTTCTTCATGGACTTATGGAGTCTCGCGGTGGAGGTTACCTGGCCTTTTTTGAGAAAAACAATTTTCCCTATTTTCAGAC